ATATATCCCCGTAAAAAGGAGAGTAGTCTTCATCTTCTCTTTCACAAACATGTGCTCTGCCTTTCCTTCCCCTTTGGCTGCACTCTCCCTCTCTCCCTTTCTCCCTTTCTCCCTCTCTCCCCTCTCTTCCCCTCTCTCCCTCTCTCCCACTCTCCCTCTCTCCCCCTCTCTCCCCCTCTCTCCTCCCATTCACTTCATTCCTGCTCTCTGTTCCTCACTTTCTTCCGCTGGCCTCTATTTTCCATTCTCATTCACTCTCTCCACTTCTTCCTCCGTTCATCTCTGCCTCTTTCCTTTCCCAAAAAACTCCATATGCATGTGCACTCTCACACACACACACACACCCACACACACACACACACACACACACACAGTGGTTTCCCTAACTGGGTTATGTGTAACTTCAAATAGCGTTAGTTGACAATAGGGGGGCCCAGAGTTCATCCCCTGTGCTTCTCTTTCTCCTCCTCTTTAAATCTAAAGGAAAGTTATATGTGTGTGTGTGTGTGTGTGTGTGTGTGTGTGTGTGTGTGTGTGTGTGAACATACAGTGGGCACACGTGCCGCTCAATGTGTGAGCATATTAGCGAGACAGTTTTTTCTTCAGCGTCAAGGTCATTTTCCCGCTCAGACTGTAACATTAAAGTATTCATGTGAATACGCACACGTTTATCACGTGCACGTGCACACGCACTAAACACACACACATATACACATACGCACACTATAACCTAGATGCAACCCATTATCGCCGTGGCACACGTGCACAACCAATCCTATTAGTAGAATATATGAAGAAGGGTGAATATTTGCTTAATATTTAGGCTATTACATAACCATTCTTATTTATGATGCATGCTGGGAGTCGTGTGGGGGTTTCACAGTTTAAGTCAGAAAGGAGAGGAGAACAAAGGAGAGGTGAAGAAAAAGGAAGGGAGAAAGTGGAGAGGAGGAGATGAAAAGAAAGCAAGGGAGAAAAGGAGAAGGAGAGGAAAGAAAAAGGGCGACAAGACAAGAATAGAGAAGAAGAAAAATTTGAGAAAAGAGGTGAACAGGGGAATGAGAGGAGAGAAGAGGAACGGAATGAAAAAGGAGACAAGGAGATAAAAGACGAGAGGAGAACAGGTGGGTGTGAAGGAGGAGAGGAGAGGAACAAGTGGAACATTAGATTGAATAACCAACCACATGCCAAAAAGAGAGAGAAAGAACACTCCAGTGGATGGTAAAGGAGACATATGAGCATGCGTTTCTCTTTCCTCTCCTCCTTCATCCATGACTTCATCTGCTCCTCCGTTTACCTCGAACCTCCTATAATCCCACACATGTGGACCCAACCCTGACCACCGAGGCAGGGAGACTTTACACTGACATCCTCCACAATAGATGAATTCCTCGGGAAACCGTCCCGAGACACGAGCTGACACATGCAAACACATGCAATAAGTCATTGAGGACTTGAGATTGATTGTTCCTCAAAGATCAACACATGTTGCCCAGACATGCAGGATAGAGGTTGTGTGTTTGGATCCTGAAACTGACTCCTCGAACAAAAATGTCAACAAAACTGCATTAGGAATAACGTTTCGAGGGAAACTTGTTTTGTTGTGTCTTTCACCTGGGGGACCGCTGCTCGTGTCCCGCTTCCTCCGATTTCTACTAAACCTTAACAAGTGGTTTTGTAACGGGTTTTTTTGTTGTTGTTTCGTTTAAATTTACAATGTGACCATGTGACAGTGTTTAAAACTAAGACTGTAAATCCGGGAGATATTATGTTTCCCTCAAAAGTCCCTCAAGAGTGCAGTTTAGTTGCATGGTAACTCATAACTCCGAAAAACAAAAAAATGATCACAAAAGTATAAACAATAGTCAGAGAACTAAGAAATAAAAACAACCTAAAAATAGATCCTGAGATCTTCCTCCTCAGCTCTGAGGGTGTTGTCCACAAATTGTCCACCATAGCGGAAATACGACCTCACACGTATGATCGGTTTGAGTGTTTCAATAATGCCGGAGGAAACACCCCACACAAGTAAAATGACTCTAAGCGAGAGGAGGGAAGCCAGGCTTTTCTGGCAGTGTGGTGAGTTGGACTAAGGACAAACTCATTTGTAGATAAAAGGTAAATTGAGCTTCCCTTCCAGGACATCCCCACTATTCATACAGTATAAAAGGCTCAAGGCTGCGAGACCAGAACACTGTACCGAGGCTACAGTGACAGCTCATACAATATGGAAACAGCTATATGCTATAGGCAGCAGATAAACACACACACACACACACACACACACACACACACACACACACACACTAATGGCACACCATATTATGCAAAACTGCACTGCCTGAGTGTTTCATCTCCAAAAACGGAAATTGATGATGAGTCCAACTTAAATGTCAAGACCACATTTCGGCTCAGTTTGGAGGGTGAAGGTGTGCTGCTGAAGCTGCTTGTGTGCAGTTTGTATTCCTCATGTTATGGGGACATAAACCTGTTCTACCAGCAACATTTTATTTTTGATAAAATGCTAGTCTCTGCAAGGTTTAGCCTTTATTTTAGGGTTAAGACTTAGGTTACTTGGGCTGGGTTTGAGTCTAAGATACTGTTAGAACAAGACTTCACTGTAAGTCAATGTCCTCACAAGTATAGCCAAAACAAAAGTGCTCCCGATTAATGATGGGGGTATTTAAGAGGGGGGGGGGGGTAAGTAGCCTAATCGCGTGTGTGAGCGCACGTGAGGCAGACAGCGGAGGTCTGTGTCCCCATCGCTAATGTGACGGCACTATGGGCTGACGATGATGCGGGCCCGGCAGGGGGGCCAAAGTCATCAATCACGCAGATCGAAACCGCAACATTAAATCAATACACCCCCC